CCAACTCGAATACAATTGGTAATCCCAACGCGAATACAATTGGTGACCCGTATTTTGGAACACGCCTCAACTTCTGATCAAATCTTCCGAAGAAGCCAATTCGGTGAGTCTATGATTTATCTATCCACGTCTGTTGTATATTTTCATATTTTTTGATATATAATATACACGACATGACGGATAACGATAACAATAGTATTAATATAATAGACTCACACGTATGTGTACCGAATCCTTGTCACTTTTTATTGGCGTGATGATGAATTCCACGCTTTATTCGAGAAATGGTACCCTATTAACGATTCCCCTCGCTGACCCGGCTGCTTGGTACGGAATGCATACGCATAAGCATATCTGTCTACCACCCAGCACCAAATGGTTAAGTTGAACGGTTTCACTGCCAACCTAAAAGTGTTCTACGAGCACACGAAAACGGCAACTGGCACGAAACCTTACCGCTCGTTCTTTTAGGGGTGAGAACGAGTTTAAAGGCAGATATCCAATGTTCCGCCACTGAACTTGTATACGGTACGACATTACGTCTGCCCGGAGAATTCTTCACACCACGGAGCAGACCTAATTTCGGTAAATCAGACTACGTCCATCGACTGTCTGCATTTATGCGAACGCTGTCTCCGGTGTCAACTCGAATACAACATCGACAGGTCGCTCTCCCTCGAGAGTTATCTACCTGTTCACATGTTTTTGTACGAGTAGATTCGGTACGCAAACCTTGGCAACAACCTTACGAAGGCCCTTTTCACGTGATCGCTCGTCACGAAAAGACATTCAAGGTTGATCGATATGGACGCGTCGAGATCGTCAGCCTTGATCGTCTCAAACCAGCACACGTCGATGACAGTGCCCTATCTGACAACCTGAGATTCAATGCTAGACCTAGCAAACCTACTAGCGGGATCCTCAAATCATCTTCAGGTCCCACGCTAGATACATCTGAGACCTCATTCTCACGTCCCAGTCAACAGCACGCGTTATCTGCACCGTCTACGGACGAGACGACAGTCTCACGTCCAGATCAGCAGACCACGCCGCCCTTGACTTCGGATGAGATTGCAAGCTCACGCGACGCGAACGAGACTGCCGTCTCACGTTCCGGTCGCCGAGTACGGTTATCCGTACGCTTCCGCGAATAGTCGCACAGTCAACAACCGATACGGTGTAGGATTATTCCTATACTACACGTATGCTACACTCTTCTTTTTTTGATTTTCTTTTTGTTTCCTGAGCCCACGCCTTCGACCATCTACATTTGGTTCCGTCGACTTCAGTCAAATTTGGCGAAAGTTGGATTGGCCACTCACGCTCTTGTCAACGTACTCAGTCGATATATTGGTTTCGAATGCTTGGCATATGCTTGGTCTCGAACTTGGTCGTTATGGTCGCTTCTGGTCTTTTGGTTCAACGTGGTTTCGTCCTTCGTCTGCAGCGTTTATGGTCCGGACCCGTACGAACGCCCTCTTCAGATTCTGGATACAAACCACTCTGGTGTAGCATGCCAACTCGAGCAATAAATACAACACATCGCTCCTGGTACTGTTCTCCGAAAACGACCTTCGTTGGCAACTCGACGATCAACGATCGCTTTCCTGTTCGCCAATTCTTCTGTCCTACAATCGCTCGTCAGCCGATCAGTCCCACGATTCAAACCGCTATTTATCGAGAGTGTAAACCCTTTCTAGCGGGGGGCTCCTGTAGTGACTCACATTTATCACGAGAACACGACTGGTTTAATAAAAACAATTATTATTATAACCAACTGTACCAGTGTTTGTTTTAACGTGTTTTTGTTTGACTGTGCTAATGACAGCTATTTTGTGCTTCCATTCTTTTACTTACACTTTGATTGTAACTTCGCGCGAATTCGGTTACCTTCTGTAACCAAGCTTGTATCCTGGCACGATCTCGGTATCCTTTCGATGCCACGAGATCGCCAGTAAATAAACCTCGACTTGGTCCATTAACTGTCTTCTGGTATTCGGCTTCTCGGGGATTTTATGGAGTCATTTGGAACGAGCTTCTTACGCCTTCTGATTTATTTGGCACGTGTTTCTTGGTAGCGGTGTTCATAGTTAATCTCAACTCGACGCCACGCTACAATTGGTAATCCCAACTCGAATACAATTGGTAATCCCAACACGAATACAAAACTATTGAAGATTGTATGGAAAGTTCGTCCGTCAAACTGTCCAAAAATGCGCTTCAACGTTACCAGTGCAAGGTTTGCTCGGAAGGCATTTTTGTCAGAGTTAGCGTAAGACTTTAAGTCATGGGGCACCAGGACTCCTAAATCTTTTTCGACTTGGGATACTACTAGAGAGGAGTTTCCTATGTTGTAACTGTAGTTTGCGACATGTCGCAGATGGACTACTTTACACTTTGAAGTGTTAAAGGTAAGTTCGTTATCGTCTGCCCAATTTTGAAGTCGCGTCAGATCCTCCTGAAGTGCCTGTGTATCGTCTTGGTTGCGTAGTACTGAGCCCTGGGGGCCCCACTAGGACATTCCATAGCCTGAGATAAAGTGAAATTGACCCTAACCTTAAAGTGTTGATTTTTTAGGTATGAAGTAAGCCAATCGATTAGAGGTGGTTTGATACCTAGTCGTTTGAACTTATTGGTAAGACACAAGTGGTTAACCTTATCAAAAGCTTTTGAGAAATTAAGGTAAATGATATCAACCTTTCCCTTACGATCGAGGATGCTTGTCCATCTGTCAACCGCAGTCAGCAGGTTGGATATACAAGAGTAACCCTTCCTGAAACCATGCTGTTGGGGTGAGAAGAAATTTAAGGACAGCAGATAGTCGTTTAAACCGTCGCTTCGGAGCAACCTGGGTATCGTAACAAGCATTCATGTTCGACTAACTTATTGCGAGAGAAGATTGGACAGCAGCCTTAGATTAAGGTCTGTCAGTTGATGGGATATTCATAGACTTTAGCAAAGCATTTGATAAGGTTTCACACTTAGGTATTATGAAGAGGCTCCCGAGCTTCTGAATCATAGGTGCTGTGCAGGAATGTATAGGAAACTTCTTATGTGACTGCAGAACGAGAATGAGTGTCAATGGGACGCTATCCGATTGGAAGCCGGTCAAAAGTAGTGTACCCCAAGGCACCATTTCGGACAAGTACGCATTGCAACCCAGCTGCTCTCAATGGATTTCGTGCGTTATCGTCACTTCGCTGAGCATTCGAATGCTTTGGCGAGAAAATGTCTCGAATCTCCTATCTCACCTGTGTAAGACCACAGTTGGATTGCTGTATCCAAGAAGCTGGCCCTTGTCTGATAAGGGGTTCTAACCCACTTGAGTGTGTTCAGCGCGTGGGAACGAAATTAGTGAAGAGTCTTTCTAAACTCCCTTACGGTGAGCGCTTAAAACAACTAGTTTTTAGAAATAAGGATAGTAGGTTGTTGAACATGTGTTAATCCTAACAGACGTTTTATTTCTAAGACTACGAGCGTTTGTATAGCACAAAGTTAGAATGTTCTGGGAATCATTCGTTCTTCCCATACAGACCTCGGAATCATTGGCTTCAAACACCTAGCCACTCGAAAACCCTTATTGGTAAGGTTAGTTTCGCCATCTGACTTCCAAGTTCTTAACTCCGTAAGAGCGTTCTTCCACTTGATTCGATCCTCAAGCCGATAATCTGGTCGGATACGAATATTTGAATCAGGATTTTTTGTGCGTTATTCAATATTATATCTCTTCCATCAAAATTCCCGAGAACCAGCTTCAAGATCCTTCTTGGTTGGGTCTCGCCTCCAACCCATTTACCAAGTCGTATCACTTCCGTGATATTAACTCCTGAAACCTCTTCAGGTATTACACTTCTTACCACAGACTCCACTAACTGCAGGTCATGTGCACGTCTTCTAGCTGGGTTGTTGTCTTTCGAACATTCTAACTTTGTGCTACACAAACGCTCGTAGTCTTAGAAATAAAACGTCCGAGCTAAGTCTGATAGTGGATGAATTAAGACCGACATAATTGTTGTTACAGAAACTTGATTCATGGTAGATATAGAATGTTCTCCCATCATTGCGGGCTATATCTGCATTAGAAGTGATAGAATTTAAAGTCGCAAGGAAGAGGCATAATGTTATACGTTAGGGATCACTTTCCTATACAATCAATCATATCGGAGACTCATGTTATTGGTACATGTGAGGTAGCATGTTGTAAAATTTAATCGAAAAATGGGTTGGTGACTATAGGGGGAATGTACTGTAGTCCGTGTTGTCTTGTTGATGACCTTATCTTAAGACACATCTGTTCTTGGAGTATGGTAGAATGTTGTCTCATCATTGGGGACTTCAACGCACCGAATATCAACTAGATAGAGCTTACAGCTCCAGGTAGCGGTTTCGATAGTGACCTTTTATCAACCGTTATTCAGTGTGTACTTGCACACTGTATCCCAAAACAGACACATACAAACTTGAAATATGATCCGTCGCTGCTGAAATTTGCCTTCATTCACCACTGTGAGGATGTCTTTGATATTCAGCACCTTCCCCCACTAGTGAACAGTGATCATGTTGTACTTTACTTGAAGTTTAGGACAGATGGTAGACAATTTTTATCTGCTCCAGCCCGTCCCAATATCTGGGGAGCTTCTCCTTGAAAATATTAATTTACGATAATTTACGATCAAAACAGTCAATTTAACTCGACGGGAAACAATACCACTGTCTTTTTAAATAACCTTTTCCCCTTGTCATATCGTAGGACGCCAGGTGACCTTCTACTGGTATTTCGTATCTTTAATTACGATTTCAGTGTTAATATTGCCTTATCTTTTTGCTCCCTCCAACACTAATGATCTCCGAGATCATAGCAATAATGTTCACAAATCGCAGTCCAATAAAATTAACATGGGGTCCCGTTTTTTTCACTTTTTTCGTTAATTATACCTACGTTCTTTACTGGAGGCATCTGTGATCCATTGTTACTAAACACGGAAGTCCGTTAGGTGAAAGCTTTTTCTATTATGTATAGAACTATTTGCATGCGTTCGAATCTCTAATGCTGAAGAGTGGGAGTTATTGGACATTGGCTTCTGTCCTTGAGGACGTTCGTAAGTTACCTGGTGCGTATTGGGTTACGCATTTTACCTGTAAATACTATCTACTCCAGTTTCTTACTGAATAATAATAACACATGAACGGATTGCATCATAATTTGCTGGATCATCAATACCAAAATACTCACCTGCGGAACAGAATCCAAGATATTGATGTCGATCATAGGATCGTGTTCTCCATTGAACAGAACGCACAATTGTGCGATATGACTATCGACAGCGTCGAGTCTCGCTTGTAAGCATCACATTTTCGTCCCACTTGGCACTATAGACTACTTGTTGGATCACAGGACGGCCACATATATGTATTTGATGTTGAAGACCCACGTTTTTTTAGTCTTGACTCAGTTAAACACACTTCGATTGCATCTGTTTGTAACAGAAGTAAAGGTTCAGGATTTCTGTCAAAAGGATCCCCACTCGTTTGTGTACAATGGTATCCAGTTGACAGTGGTTCTTTCACTTCGGCGTCAGCTAATAAAATGCTTCAGATATGGGACACCAACCGCCTTGAAGTATGTCTAACTTTTCCAATATGTTCATTATGTTTGTATAAAGTCCTGTTGCACAAGTTTGTTGTAGATTTCCACGATGTACTTATTTTCACCGGTGTGAAATATTGGCCATTGGTTAGAATTCTGTACAAATATGATTGCACTTGTAAGTGTGAAGTGCATACAAACCGAGTCTTAGTCTTGATAGTCCTGAATACCGACCGAATCATTCAGTTCAGAATTCGCCATAACTTCAGTGTGTACGGTTTTATGCATGGAAATTCTAGTAAATCTTTATCTTGGTTGTAAGCATTGTTAAATCAGGTGTTCAAACGTTTATCAGTTATGACATTTGCTTTCATTTTTAATGCTGCAATTAGCTAGTGATGAACTGTATGTATGATAACATCCCACAGTTATTCCTTATGTCTGGGCCTTTATCATTATTTAAGTCAAAAACTTGGTTAATATGGCTGGAAATTTCCAAGGAGTATTTATTACTTAAATAAAACGTATCAGTGGAAGGTTAACACGCTCCTCACCCACAGCTACCACTGCCAAATCCGATTGTTACTAATTCGACTAAATTTATCAAGTATATCTGTCCACATATCTTCGTAAAGTGCTCCACGAGGTACTGATTGCTATTTTTAATTAAACTACCTAGCTTAGGTATCATGTGTAAGTGAACCAAACGTATTGGGGGCACTGACTGCTAAGAAAACTACCTGTTCCTGTTTTTGTGCCCGGGCAGTATCTCAGCTCACATACGAACTTATTGATGACTACAACTAAAGGAAACCATCCATACTTTAATCCCCATTCCTGAAAATCATACTCCAAACTATTTGCTAACATTCGTTTTTATTATACACTGCGTCACTTATCTATTCACCCTTTGTTTATGTTGTGTCCCGATAAGAATAATGAGTGGTAATTTTTTGGGACCTATTTATGGACCAATACTGTGCGTATATTTTTGTCGTATAATAGTTAGTTAACTAAACTATTCATATTCATATTTCTCTTATCATAAGCTTTATTTTAACCTATGAACTGTTATTATACGATTTTCCATTCTTGAATTATTCCGTCTATTGATCACCACCTCCCACATTCACAGCCACATTTGGCCATGTCTTGTACAAATGATATTTTCTATTTTATGGTACGATGTGGTCTGCTTGACTGGTATATAAACAGAGTATGTTTGAAATACATGATTCATATTTCAGAGGCCGAGACTGGTGTTTTGGACTTAACTGGCTGGGCTAGGCGGAAAACAGGACCAATCAGAACTGTAGGCTGTTCGCACGTGTTAACGCGTGCTTGGCCCGATCGATAATCCACTGCCCTCTAATCGGCGGTCACAAGTTATAGCAGTTTACTCTGTTATTTTTCCAATAAAACAATAGTGGAAATTCTGTCCTTTCTAAACGATCCCAAGTCACTGACTGGTCGGAAGTTGAATGTTACCACCGAATACGAATTCTGAAGTAGTTTTTTCTGAAGTTGTGTTTGGCTTTTAAACTAGGCTTCACGAAGCGTCCTGCTCATAAGCATTGAGACTTTACAGGCTCTTTACAACTCGTTGAGACACGTTTGTCTACTCCGAGTGACCACAAGTTTGACGATGAACGAAGACTGTTACGTAATGAAATTTTTGTAAGTTTGCGTAAGGGCAGAGAAGCTTGGCGGTCGGATAACGCTAACGAGTTGAAAGCAGTAGCTTCACTCAGTAGCTGCCGGAAGTTCTTTCATCTCATCCGAGACACTGGCAACAAGTAGTCTGGTGTGAGGAGAGTCAGAGATCGCTCTCTCTCGAAATGTTCCCACATGGCCAAGTGTATAGAGCTACTGTTAGGGAAGTCCTGCTCACTGACTTCTCGCGGTGCGAGTGTTGCTTACGAAATTGAGAGGACGAAAATCGAATGTCCGACGCTTAAACTCGGTTGATGGACACGGAGGATCCACCTGGGGGAGTTGGAAAACCGTGATTCCAAACCAATGTTGCGCATAGGCTCCAGGATCCTGAGGTAACAAATGGCGCATGAACCTATTGTTGGTCACCAGATACCATGGAATCGCATCTTTTAATGTCGGTCCACTACTTTGTGGATCAAACCTCTCGGTCAAAGGCTCGGGGAGTGGTCTTCTAAGAGCAGGAAGTCCGCAGGAAACTCCAATTCTTGAGGCGCTACAAACCACTAGGCCCAGATGACCTAACTCCGGCCCCTTTTAAAGATGGTGGTGACTTTCTGGCTTCGGAACTGGCTGAGTTGTTTGCAAAGGTCTGGCAGTTAGAGACTGTTCCAACATCATGGAATGAGTCGATAGTTGTCCCTATCTTTAAAAAGGGTCCACATCACCTATGCAAAAACTATCTGGAGATAGGTCTACTTCCGATTGCGTTCAAGCTATTGGCTTCCGTCATATTTCGTAGGTTGTTCAAAATCCGAAAAAGATTGACTCGCGAGGAGCAGGCTGGGTTTCGTTCTGGTCGAGGATGTATTGATCATATCTTCACCCTTCGCCAAATGTTAGAACACCCTCATCCTCATACTTATCACAGGTCAACAATCGTTGTGTTTCTTGACATGGCTGCCTTCGATTCGTTGGACAGGACTGTACTCTGGGATTGTCTATTGAAGAAGGGTGTGCCTGAGGAGTTTATAAACATCTTAAAGGCACTATATACAAACATCTCAGGCAGAATGAGGGCATGCAACCACCTCTCTCCATTGTCCCATTCGAGCAGTGGGGTTAGGCAGGGTTGCCCAATCTCACAATTCCTCTTCAACTTTGCCATCGACGACATTCTAGAAACAGCTCTGATGAATGTAAGTAATGGTGGTGTGGATCTGTTGCCTGGAGAAAGACTTCTCGACCTTGAGTATGCGGACGATATTGTCTTACTGAGCGATAACGCCCAAGGCATGCAATCCGCACTTAATCAGTTGGCAATCAGTGTCCGTAGGTATGGTATGTGCTTTGCACCTTCGAAGTGCAAAGTACTTCTACAAGACTGGCATGATTCCAATCCTGTTCTCACCCTGGATGGTGAGCAGATAGAGATAATCGAAAAGTTCGTGTATCTGGGTAGCTGCATAAGTGCTGGTGGGGGTGCGAGTGATGAGATCAATGCACTTATAGTGAAAGACAGAGCGGCTTATGCCAATCTGGACCACCTTTGGCGCCTTCGTGATGTTAGTCTAGCTGTAAAAGGTCGGATCTACAACGCGTCGGTGAGAGCAGTTTTGCTCTATGCTTGTGAAACCTGATCTCTCCGAGTTGAGGACGTTAGACGACTCTCTGTGTTCGATCATCGCTGTCTCCGAAGGATTGCTGACATTCAGTGGCAACACCATGTCAGTAATGCAGAGGTTCGGCATCGTGTGTTCGGGCACAGAGATGATAATTCAATTGGTGTCACCATCTTGAAACACCGACTTCGGTGGCTTGGACATGTTCTCCGAATGTCGTCCCAGAGAATTCCACGTCGTGCATTATTTGCCGACTCTGGGACTGATTGGAAGAAGCGGAGAGGTGGTCAGTGCATGACATGGTGTCGTGGCATGAAAGAAAGCTGCAAAGAACTGGCTTCTGTCGGTCTTTCACGACTCCCTGGTTGGGGTCCGAGAGATGGTGCTACACAGTGGCTAGAGACGTTATCAGATATGGCTCAGAATAGAAGCCAGTGGCGATCCTGCTGTAACCTTCATTTACTTTCTTCATAAAAAGAAAGACGTAACCTTATTTGGAAGAATTGTTTGTGGCTGTACTTTTGCTATTTGAACTGGCCATCCCATTATTGTTATTTCACTACCATACACCAATTTCTGTTCATTGTTGTACTTCTTTTTTCTTATATGCGCCTTACCTTCTTTTTTCCCTTCCCATTCTCATTGTTTTGTTCGGCGCATATATTTATGGTGCCCCTTTGTACCAACATTTATGTGTTCAACTAAATAAAAATGGCTACTAAGTTGCATTTGAGAAATTGCATTCATATTTGTTCACCAAGTTATGAGCCGGATTTGTTATGTGGACTTATGATCTAGGTAAAACGGAAACAGATATAATGGTGTCCATGCTTTAATTCTAGTTAACTAATTAATTAAACACACGGACATTGGCACAATGAGGCATCAAATATATATGCACCTCACCAATCATTTGATTTGCGTGAGGGCTGGAATACTGCTCAAACCGAAGCAGGTGTTTTTTTAGGGTGCTGCTCCCCGAGCCTTTAACCAAAAGGTCTTATCCACAAGACAGTGGAGCGACATTAGGAGATGCAGTTGCATGGTATCTGGTGACCAACAATAGGTTCATACGCCATTTCCCCCCAGGATCCTGGAGCCCGTGTGCACCATTGATTTGGAATCACGGTTTTCCATTCCCCCAGTTGGATCTTCCATATCCACCAACCCGGTTAAGGAACCGGAAGTTCGTTTTTTGTTCTCTCAATTTCGTAAGCAACACCCCCGCCGCGAGAAGGCAGTGAGTAGGACTTCCCTAGCAGAGGCTATATACGCGTGGCCACGTGAGAGCATTTCAAGAGGGAGAGCGAACTCTCCCCACCTTCGACCGTACCAGTAATTTACGGGTTAGTAACTAAAGTACTTTGAATCAATCAATAAGCTATTTCTTTACACAGAAAGGCAGATTCTTCGGTATAGTATATTGATAAAGACCTACTTACCGAACTGCATTAGGCATCTGAGTAGCATTCTCTTCTTAACATAATTCTTGGTATATATTTGGAAAACTACTGTTCTACAGAACATGTTGTTATAGGGTCATTTATTGGTGTATAACAGCGTATATTTTTCTACTTCTTCCTAGTAATATCAATATCATCATTGACGACTTCTATTTCTTCTTTTGTCGTAGTGCGTCACGTCAGTAAGTTTCGCCCAAAGTTTGTCCTGGTTATCTATGTCACCTGTGGCATGTAGTCACAATCTGATCGCAGTTAGTCTGGGACCATGTAGTGGTGAATCAACTGGCCGCGCCGTTTTAGTTGATCCTCTTATGGGTTGTACAGTCACTACACTACTTGGAAGTCATTCTCAATCAGGCCTTACACAAGTTACTTGGTCCCCTAGGGCTGCTTACGTTGTTGTTACAGGAGGGTGAGTTTATAACAATCGTTTATAATTCTTTTAGATTATTCTCTTTAAGTCTGAAAAGTATTCGCATTTAAGCTTCAATATCGTCAGCCGGCTTCAGCGTACTCGTACATAAGTTTGCGATAAAATAGATTTTACACCATTTAAAAGATAATCGAAAATGTTTACATATATCAGGAAATAAAGTGTAGTGTAATGTAGTAAAACGGAACAAGATTACAGATGGAAAATAACTTTATTTTAAAAATATGTGATCAAGTAAAGAATGAGTCGAAACTTCCAAAATTAACAAGGGTGTATTATGGTTACTTTCACCATTAGTTTTTAAAATCAAAGTAAAATGAGAGCTTGAACGTTTTGTTTTTAAACTCACAGATCTTAATTGAAATGATGAATTTTCAGTACTCTGTGTTCATATATTTCTGATCTATATTGCTTCTGAGTTAGATTGTCTAACCTTATAGATAGTTTCAAATGATACTTCTGGAGAGCCTTCATGAAAAAGGTGAACTAAGTGTTTAATAATAGAACTTTTGATCGTTTTACACTCACCTTAGGACAACCCAAACTGATAATGTTCAGCAGTGTATTAAAAGAGAGTACACTTTGTACAGCCGAAATAACTAGTTATGAAAGTGCAAGTGAACTGATAAATACACGACTTATCCCAAAGTGTCAATTGCGAAAAAAAATCCAAAGCTCCACACTGTGGAAAACCTTTCTTGCTGATCTTATTAATAAGTTTTTTTCAAAAGCTTATTTTGAGTAACTTATATCAACTTACTTGGGTTAGTAACGAAAAAACATTGAATTCTGTATATAAACACTAATTTGAATACCATCTAATTTATGTTTATTGTTTATTCGAATAAATGTACAACTCAAAATAATTTTCATAGTACTAGCTTTGTTGTGCTACCTTCAGATTTATTTGCCTTTTACATTGTGGAATTTCTGAATAGTTTTCGACAGTTTCTTTTATCTCCTTGTGACTGCTGAAGATGTGTTCACTCGCTAACATCATTCATAACTAATCAGCTTCTATTGCGACTAACTGTGTTTGGATGGTTTTAATCCACTTCCAGTTCATCAAAAAAGTAAATTTTACTAAATTTAAGACTTCGTATTATTGGAAGTGAGGTAACATTAGAAACCGTTTTAAAACTCACTACTTGTAAACCTTAACTGAAGTAAAAAGTCGTAGGTCAGCAATAACAAAAAGCCAGATTCTTTTTAGTGATTAGACGTATATCAATAAAAGATGCTTGTGTATTCGCATGGTGCCTTCTTATGCTTTTTCTAGGACGTATTAATAGTCAGCTATTAGTCACACAGAGCCTGGGAAGTATGTGCATCCGTTAAAGTTGCCACATCGTATTGACACAGCGAAATGCCTTAGCAATGGAAGTAATTACAGTATCAATGGTAGTAGAAAGTTTCGAAATGAATTTTGTTTTGGTAAGGAAATGTAGGTTGGTGAAATAAATAATTGTAAGTTAATCTTTGTGCTCAAAATTAAGACGGAGATAAATAGCGAATGCAACTGCTCCATCGCAAGCAATTCTTGATGTTATCAATCCTGAATTGACTAGTAGTGTCTGATTAGAGAGTCTGTACAAAGTTGACGTACTTCTTTGGTGCGTTTTTCAATGACAGATATTGCTATAAAGCCTGTCAATCTACGGAGTTGAGCGCTTTCTTAAAGTCAAGAAATACAGCCTTTGTTGGGCGTCACTAGATGTGTCTATGTGTCAAAACATGATGTATAGATCCACAGTGGCGTAGCTGGAAACCAGCCATACTGTTCCTCAAAATACTATGCCCATCTTACCAATCTCCCGGGCTAATAGTAGATCAATGTCCCATCTTCTACCGAAATTGTCTCATTTACTTTCGATTTTTAACACTGGTTTCTTTGATATGTCTGGAAGTTGTTATTGGTTGTCTATCACTGCTGTCCTTTCCGTCTCTACTGTCCCAGCTGCCACCGCTGTTCGCGATAATTTTATAGACTTCTAGTCATTGTGCGTTCAAGTTGGCTTCACTCCTCGTCGTGTTCCGAGTCTGATGGGATAAATTTCCGAACATCTGTCAATCCGGCAGACGCCACTAAAATCCTGTGATTTTTCCAAACCTTTTTGTTTAAGTCATTAGTAAATATCACTGTTGTTTTCACAGCTGTTTGAATATTGTCCCAACGTACATCGGGCTAAGCATTGCTTTGATGATCGGATAAATGCTCCTCTAGGTGTTCGACGAGCTGAAGTCTTCTTGCGGTGATTTTGTTGTTTCCAGACTCAGACAAATGCGAAATCGTACTGTAACATTGTCAGAATCTATAAATGTGCTCTAGGACAAGTAGCGATCTACTACTGAGCCTCACTAGCAACGGTTGGTGTGGATATGGTCTATTTAGATTCATCATTGGGTCAATTTTAGGAAGGTCACATGATGTCTCTTTATACTTAAGGTTGGTATTTGCTAAAAATAAATGGTTGTCTGACCATAGTTTCAGCATGCAGTTGTCGTTGCCTGTTCACTATGCTGGAATATTATAAGACCCCTCTAAATATCTTCCATTTTAGTTTAGTCTAGCTACTTGAGGGTTAAAATCCTCTGCTACGAGTACAAAGAAGCGTTTGACTTTTTGAACTGGAGTGGGAAACATACTGTAAAACTTACTTTTACTTCATCTAAACTACAATCAGCGGGAGTTTGGATAGAGACGACAGAAAAGCAGCAGGATGTGTTGCTTTCGTTTCCGACTATTACCCCCCTCAATTGGAAAGCGCACAAGTGGCTGTCTATCAGAGTATAGTCCAGGAAAGCATGTTCCACCCTGAAACTTAATGTCATATCTACGCTGATGTCAGTCAGTCCAACGTGAAACTTCGTACGTACATACGTACGTACATCAGTTCAAGTTGCCATACCACATTAGCACAGAGATACAGTCGTCGATTCAAATTCCATAGTGGTAGAGGTAGTAAGAGTATAAGCAGTAATTGGAAAGACTAGGGTTTGAAGATGTTACTCAAGTAGTTTAATTCAGTGAAATAAATTTGGAAAGAGGAAAAAGGGACATGAAGAATTCAGAAGATTAGAATCCGAGAGAACACAAAGAGTGTACGCACCTGCGCCATTGCAAACGATTTTGAGCCATGTCATTCAGGGTCTCTAACCATCGGTTGCTATCATCTCGCGGTCCCCAACCAGGTAGTCTACACCTACCAACATGACTCAGTCCACTTGTCAGTGACTTCGTGGATTTGTGCCATGTTTTGGTCTGGCCGCCCCTAGCTTTCTTCCAACCTATTTCTATGCCATTGAACATTGCACGTCGAGGCAGTCGGTGGTTGGGCATACGTAACACGTGTCCCAGCCATCTCAACTGATGAAATTTCACTACTTCATCAATTGATTTGCCATCCTTACCTAGTACCCGTTTCTTAACAACTGAGCTAATTACTCGATGGTCCCATGATATACGAGCAATGTTTCGAAGACACCTATGGTCAAATACTAGTAACCTACGAATATCCTCCACTCTTGCTGGCCATGTTTCACTGCCATAAAGTAGGACAGAACAAACTGCTGCACAGTAAACACGTCGTTTGTTTGGTAGACGGATATCTCGCCTACGCTGATGAGTCTACGAGAGGTAACAGTCGAGACTTCAGATACACGGAATGTGAATCAAGATGGTTCTCTATATCGAATTAATGAGGCCAATCAAATGATCACACTCGTATGATGTAAATGTGTTTCGGAGAATAATGTATGTCGATAGCAAGAGATTTTAGTGCTCTAGCTAATGAATCATGTTTTATTTTATCTAAGGTTCAAACACTGAATGCCCTAACATGTAGTTTAGGGCGCCGATCCAAGAGGCTAGAATTGGTGATGCGTGGTGATAAAAATAAAGTTATAGGAGAAGGGTAGGGATTAGGGATAAAAGTATTAAGAAGTGACGAAGGGATTTGATCATGAACAAAAGGATCTTGAGTGGTGTTTAACGTATGTGGCCACTTTCCACCTCCAAATTGTTCACGTGATTGGTGGATACTTCTTGAGGTACCTAAAGTGAAAATGGGATAGCCTGGGAGCTTGACTATAAAGCCTAAGTACAACTGCTTGAGTCTGGCTTATACGGCGTGTCATGAGTTCTGATATATTAGCTCCATAGATTAAAGTCCTTGCCACCGGAGACGTAAATCTGTTGTGTAACTTCTAAGACAGATCTTTCCTAACCTCTTGTTTACATCATGAGATGGCACCACTGATGTTGGTCGTCTGTGGGAAATCTTACCGCCACCTTACTTTTGTACATTTATCAGTTTTACACCCTCAAACTTTAAGTTGCCACTTTTAGTCTTACTGTTTGACCGACGTGCATGGCATGACAGACATAAGGGAATAAGTGATCCAGCCAACATAGCCTGACTGAATAATTACAATAACCAAGCTTGAACACCATGCCACGGTGGCATCTACGATTGAGCAGTGACTACATTCTCAACGAAACAACTGAACTAGTCTAGAAAAGCAGCACTATGCTTATTGACGAGAAAAGGGTTACAGTTCCTATCTTTTAACTGGGTAATAGTAATGTTATGGATAGAGTAGTTAGTAAAATTAGCACCTAATTTCTTGTTGACATTTACCGCTATTTTTTATGTTCACTAACAAATATTCAGATTTTTCATCCTCAGACATATTTCAAAACTGAATCACTGTGAGTTAATTACTTTTTTTCTTACATCATTATCTATTAATTTGTGCGTGGTAATCGAGTTTACGGACTAAATGGTTAATATCAAATAATTTAGAATATTCATGTATTTTCTTGTAGCTGGAAATATTTTTCCATGTAAAATATCAAAGTATTGCTAAACAAATATATTGTTTCTCACAAATTGTTATCAGGCGTGATGGGAGAGTACTGTATTGGGATATCAGGTTTCCTACAAAACCGATATATTCTCTGGACAGAGAAAATGATCCACAAAGTGGTTTGGGATATTCTAATGAAGGTTAGAAGAATTATTCTTTGGTTTTCCACACATTGTTATTGAAACATACATATTTATTATTTTTGATAAATTAATGTAATATTTGGTTTACCTTAAGTCTTCTAGGGAATTATGATGGTTGGATTAGTGTAAGACGACTTTATGGCCGACTATTTTCCAAGAAGAAATAAAAAATCTGGTAGTCTTTAAATCCTGTCTTTGCGAGCTTGCTCTGTGACCACGAAAATCGATTGCTTTCTATTGAGGATGCATCATGCTTGGAAGTTTGAAACTAAGGAATCAGTTGTTATTTCCCACTTTGCTCTTGTTCATTTTTCAGTTGTCTTTCGTCTAGTTCAATAAGGTTACTCAGTAACTATTTTGTTTTCCCTATCTAACACGATTGTTCATACACTTTACACTTTCGTTTAATCATCAGAAAATCAGGCAAACAGAAATAATGTAGTCCATAACTATGCTTTTTTGAGACTTTATTATATCTAAAACAAAGTGATGATGATATTGAGATGCGAAAGCTGAAAGTAGGAAATTCAATTAAAGGGTTTGTTTAGGAAAATAAAGTTTGAAAACTTACAATAATCGATGTCATTGTAATCAAATTAGTTTTCTTATAAATGGAAATACCATTAGAATCCTATGACTGTTTGAATGTATATGTGACTATTGTTCCTGAACTATATATCTCCAAGTTATTTTCTATTTGAATTCTGTTTAACCGTACACCATTAGTCAGACTCAATAACCTTTTGCCAGTTCCAAAGATTTATCCGTTCACAATGCCACAAACCTCTAATGGGTGAAGTCCTTCTTATCTTTTATCAACCATCGCATCTAGAAAATTTCAACACCAATTTTGTGTTTAGAACTTATGAAACTATTGTTGTAGGTAAAGGCAGTTCACTTCCGAACAAACAGTCATAGATGCAAACTCCGGTCATTTTCGTTAACTCCCACACAAAGTGTGTTGCTAGACTCAGTTATGTTAGTCCTCACTTGGATACTGGGTTCTATTAATTAGTTATTATTAACTCTGCTAAATACTAGTGATCGAAATTGGTTTAATAACCGAGCCCCAGAGAAAAACGTCTGTTTATTCATTTCATCAATGTGATTATCATCTACCATATGATCACATGGCACTTACACAGTTGCCATTATGATAGTAATAATCTAGGAATAAAAAGCTCATTTCCACTGATAAAAACCTGGAAGAATGTAGCACCTATAACGTTTAACATTGTTTTAATGAATTGAATTCCACGGAACTCAATACAGTTCCTTTATAAGTAGCTTATATCATAAACCTTACTTAGGATTCTTAACAGCGTTGATATCATTAAGTTATTAAAGGCTACAGAAAGCTGCAGGGATGATTGATTTATTTCAGACCTGGAATTTTGATTTTGAGAACTGTAAACAGTATTTTTAACTTCATGTCAATCTTTTCATTATACAAACAAAAGTAAATCCTTTTGTAATAAATAACGGATAAACTATTGCAACATTATGTAAGAAATTCGATTATTTTACTTTTATTTATATCCTTTCGGATATCCCAACTACACAACTGAATATCACTATATGGTGATTAGAAATAAATATCATCATTCAATATAAACAAAAAAGTTATTAGCGTTATCGACAGAATAACTGGTTTATAAGTAACATTCATATTTGTAAGCGGAAAATACCACTCCATTAAGGAGTAGTAGTCGATACATTCATGAAACATCAAATGAATATCCGACATTTCTGAAATAGTGAACATCTGAAAGTCAGTTAGAGTGGTCGAGGTGTTCATTTATGAAACTAATAACAGCCTAAAGTTGTTATGCAGTATTTTAGTTACTCATTCTTTTTGTCATTCTCTGTTTCTTTCTTATATAATATGAATTTATTAAATATGATACCCAATATATCACCGAAAGATCTGATGTAAAGTCACACCTAAGATGCACCAAAATTAAAGGAATATCCACAGATTAAGCTTTAAAAATATATACTATCATGTCAGCTTACTAACAGACATTTTTCAAGTGGCGTGGTTGCTCTAAAATACAATTTATTCGACCTTTCTGAATAATGACGCCGTCTTATCACTTCTATGTAAGTGATATTTACCGAATGTTTACTGCACCCGTCGGAATGTGGTGCGTGCTACTTATATCGACATAAGTAGTATATAACGCGAGTCAGGAATGTAATGTCTGGCAGCCGAAGATTGGGAAGATCAAGAAAGGAAGAACGGGAATAGAAAGCAATTAGTATAGAAATGCAAAAACAATGAAGTCCGAGACAATTATTGAACACTTTGCAAATGAGGTATTATAGTATGGTTTTTCTATTTTACGAAGTAACTCTGTAATGTTGTGTTAAATATAATTCGGTTGTCCTCACCTGTGTTCTCCTCCACTACATTTGGTGTCGCTGCCTCCATTAAGGATGAAGATTCCATGGCTGAAGGAACTTAAGGACGGAGATGTGGTAGACTTCCTGAAGGAGTTTGAAGTCGTGGCGAAGCCGGTGGGAGTGAAGGAGCAGAAGGTGGAGATAGTGATGCTGGTTACGCTGCTGAGAGGCAGGGAAAAGGCTGTATATGACAGCTTGGACGGTGCTGGCGGAAAGACTACATGGAAGACAGTCACGGAGCGGTTGGTGGCGGAGTTCGACAGCCCAGTGGACAGAAAGGAGGCGCTGCAGAAGTTCCGGTTGGCGAGTTTGTCGGTCGATGGTGACCCACTGGTGCTGGCTGTGGAGTTAACCAGGTTGTTGCGCCGTGCGCTGGCGAATCTGGATGAAGAGTTAGAGGCACAGTTATTGGCGTCGCAGTTTTACGAGAGTGTGTCCACCACCGTTTCCCAGCAGCTGGAACTAGTAAACGCAGCGCAACCTATGGATATTAGTGAACTGACGAAGGTGACTCGACAGCTGATGACACGAACAGTAGCTCTGGTCGGGTCCGGAAAGCAGGAGATAAATAGTGTCGAGAAGAAGATTGAGGAGCTGGAGCGTGAGATTTCGGCAATACGGGTGAATCATAAAAGGAATGATAAATGTTACGCTTGTGGAGGGACAGGACATTGGAATATAAACTGTCCAACAAGACGAAGACGCAGATATTTTAGACGTTATAACATGTGTTCTTTCTACCCTAGGAATCTGGGAGTTGTTGCACTAGTATATAGAGGAGCAGTTTATACGAGAGTGAACATAAATGAACGAGATTTAGTGTGTCTGATCGATACAATGGCAGCAGTATCGTTAATAGGCAAAGAGCAATGTAGGAGACTCAAGCCATGTACATTAGCTGTCCACACCATAGGAGGGCACATGTTAGAAGTGTTGGGGGTGTCTAACAGTGTCGTAAAAGTGGGTGATGTTGAGATAAATTCTCCGTTTGTGGTAACCACAAGCTTATCGAGACCGATAGTAGGAGCAGACTTACTAAGAGAAGAAAGAGCGATAGTTGACTTAAGAAGCGGTAAGGTGGTCACAAAGTATGGTTCATTATCAGTACACGAAAGTAGCGAAGTTTTATTTATTTATATGAACACATGAATATTGGTACAAAAGAGCGCCAATATATGTGCGCCACACAAAACAATGAGAATTCGAAGAAAAATAGAAAAAAAAAGCTAAGGAGCGCGAAAAAAAGAGAACAATAACGAGGGGGTTGGTGTAAGGTAGTATGGTAGAAATGAGGGAACGGAAAGGTACAATCAGAAGAAATCTTTCAGGTAAGGGAGACGCAACCACTTTTTATGAAGAAAGTAAATGAAGGTTACAGCAGGATCGCCACTGGCTTCTATTCTGAGCCATATCTGATAACGTCTCTAGCCACTGTGTAGCACCATCTCTCGGACCCCAACCAGGGAGTCGTGAAGGACCGACAGAAGCCAGTCCTTTGCAGCTTTCTTTCATGCCACGACACCATGTCATGCACTGACCACCTCTCCGCTTCTTCCAATCAGTCCCAGAGTCGGCAAATAATGCACGACGTGGAATTCTCTGGGACGACATTCGGAGAACATGTCCAAGCCACCGAAGTCGGTGTTTCAAGATGGTGACACCAATTGAATTATCATCTCTGTGCCCGAACACACGATGCCGAACCTCTGCATTACTGACATGGTGTTGCCACTGAATGTCAGCAATCCTTCGGAGACAGCGATGATCGAACACAGAGAGTCGTCTAACGTCCTCAACTCGGAGAGATCAGGTTTCACAAGCATAGAGCAAAACTGCTCTCACCGACGCGTTGTAGATCCGACCTTTTACAGCTAGACTAACATCACGAAGGCGCCAAAGGTGGTCCAGATTGGCATAAGCCGCTCTGTCTTTCACTATAAGTGCATTGATCTCATCACTCGCACCCCCACCAGCACTTATGCAGCTACCCAGATACACGAACTTTTCGATTATTTCTATCTGCTCACCATCCAGGGTGAGAACAGGATTGGAATCATGCCAGTCTTGTAGAAGTACTTTGCACTTCGAAGGTGCAAAGCACATACCATACCTACGGACACTGATTGCCAACTGATTAAGTGCGGATTGCATGCCTTGGGCGTTATCGCTCAGTAAGACAATATCGTCCGCATACTCAAGGTCGAGAAGTCTTTCTCCAGGCAACAGATCCACACCACCATTACTTACATTCATCAGAGCTGTTTCTAGAATGTCGTCGATGGCAAAGTTGAAGAGGAATTGTGAGATTGGGCAACCCTGCCTAACCCCACTGCTCGAATGGGACAATGGAGAGAGGTGGTTGCATGCCCTCATTCTGCCTGAGATGTTTGTATATAGTGCCTTTAAGATGTTTATAAACTCCTCAGGCACACCCTTCTTCAATAGACAATCCCAGAGTACAGTCCTGTCCAACGAATCGAAGGCAGCCATGTCAAGAAACACAACGATTGTTGACCTGTGATAAGTATGAGGATGAGGGTGTTCTAACATTTGGCGAAGGGTGAAGATATGATCAATACATCCTCGACCAG